AGCTGGTTCTTCCCTTGCCAAGGAATACAAGTCCCTTCCTTGGAATGGAGAGGCACAACTTTACACTCTCGACACTTTAAAAGGCTACACCTGTAGCTATCCGAATACTCTTTTTAAGACTCCATAAGACCAAGCACGCTTCTTTTCCATTACCCATCGTGCCACAGGGGGGAAAAAAACAACCCAAAATATGTTTTGTGGGCCGCTCTATAGAATCATCATCTTTCTTTGGAATGTTACCGCCGGCTCAGGAATCCCGGGAATTGAAGTCCACAGGTTGCCAAGTTGCCGTGGTTGACCCCCTTCCTGTCCTTTGACTATGTCTTAAAAATCACTTTTCTGTTATCGGTTTTTGTGCAGCTGGCCTCTGCCACCCCCAGAGACCTGATCCCAAGGATCTGATCCTATCGTATCTTTCAGGACCTAGAAAGGATCACCCCATAGTGAGCTATCCGTTGTAAATTCGAGGAGCTTGGGACAACACCTTTTTTTTTGCCATCTCGGGCAAATAGCTCAGCGGCAATAAAATGCATGCCAGGAAAACAAACCCTGCTTAAAGGGACAAGAGATGTTTCTGCAAACTACCTTTTGAAAGGATGTAACTTGAGACTTTTTTTTTTAAAACATCTATTTGGAAAGCACAATTAATTAAAGGCCAGTTGGTTGCCAACCCACACCGAGTTTAAATAGAATTTTTCCCCCTTTATGGTTTATACTTCTTTGCCAGTAGGGGAGAATGTCTGCAGATGAACACATAAACCCATCACCAAAAGGAACTATGAACTGGCAAAGCAAGAGCTCTCCCAATTTTTTTCCTGTACCCCAAAACATCTGAGGTCACGTACAAATTAATTCTCTTTGAGTTTCCCTCCCTCCCAGCCCCGGCAAAGGCAGAGACCCTCAATCCCCCTTTTTAAGTGCTCACTCGCCAGCAGTGAAAATTGATCAGGATACTGACTTCACGTCTGGTGAATTTTACTCCAGGGTGAACATTTACAAAGTCCTCTCTCCTTCCCCCCCCCCCAAACCGGGAGCACTTTGGCTCAAAACTGAGAGCCACCTAGAACAGCAACGGTCCTTTTTTCCCCCCACGGTGGAGAAATATTATCTTATTTTTCCTCATTCTGGGGTTCATTTTTGTTTTTTCCCAACACCGTGGTCGAAAGGACCGCTTTATTTTCTATGAACAGAAATTCTCCCCTCGCAGGGGTCTGCTCGGAGCAAAATACAAGCCACAGCACACTCCTGGATTGGCGAGGCACAATTTTATACCATCTCTTCTTTTTAAAAGGCTACACCTGTAGCTACATGGATAAAGACCCCTTTTTGGGTCCTGGACCTCACCAAAAGACTAAACAAGCTTCCTTTTCGTTGCCCGTCGTGCCACACAAAAACCAATCCCCCCCCCCAAAAAATAATATTTGTGGGCCGCTCTGCAGGATCACCGCCTTCCTTTGGAAAACTGGAGTCTGGAGAGAGAGTGGATCAGTAGTACTTAGGAATATTTGATCTTACTGCTCTTTTGTAAGATGACTGAAGCTTATATCTCCCCCATCTTTTCTTGTAGGTTTGTTTTTTTTTTAAACTTAATGCCATTTTCTACAGCAGAAGCAACAAAGAGATCAGGCTGGATAGAAGACTCGGCATCGGCGTTGAATCTAGGGCTGAAATAAACCCATTTTTCTCGTTAGGAAAGAGTCGTTTTTTTGATACGGACAGGAATGCTCTGTCTTTTTTTTTTTTTCCTGTTTTTAATTATCTTTGGTTGGGTGGTGAAACAAAGGGACAAGCAGCCCCAAACGGAGGAGGGCTTATGAAGCCAGAACACACTCTTTAGCGCGTCGCGTTTGCTAAAACGATCGAGCGGAAGGACAGAGAAGAGGCAGAGAAGAGCCCGAAGCTGCGAACTAAGCCAACTCAGCAAAACAGGATCTCTTGAATCAGCTTTTAATGTCTTAAGTCCAATGCCATCCTGGAGAAACTGAAATGCGGAATAATCTTTTTTTTTCTTTTTCCTTCTCGTTAAGTTTTGAGGTAGGGATGTGAGGATTGCATAAGAGGACAAATGTGCAACTCTATCTGGAAAAAGGAAGTAACAGGAAATGCAACCGAGGTATTTAAGAATACTGAAACCATCCGGAGACGCCCAGCCGCTCTCCAGGGCAAGAAGGCACACGCTGAAATCGGAAAGGCAACGTCTTGACCGTGAAGGCCAGGAAGCGGGGGCCTGTGGAACTCGAGGCCACAGGCCGTCGATGAGGTAAGTCTTACACAAAAATCTCGAGACAGATCGCGAAGGACACGCCGCGAGAAAGAAAAAAAACCGTCTACCGCCCGACGCAGAAGGCCTACGCCTGGGACAGACGGGATCTTGCCTATGAAGCAGAAAAAAGCCCGAAGCCGACGAGGATGGAGGCTAGATTTTCCAAAGCAATCTGGAATTACAAGGAAGAAATGAAGAGGTGTTTTTTTCTTTTTAAAGCATCTGCTAGGGACAGGCATTGAAATTGACCAGCAAATGCACTGCAGAGATCACCTTAACGTATCTGGACAAGTAGGAGAGCCGCGGCAGACCCCCCCTTAGCTCTGCTCCCTACACAGTGAGGTAAAAGGAAGGGGCCTGTGGGGGTACCCCTGAAATGCATGGAGGTGGACCCTCCCCAAATGAGGCCTCCGGCAGCCACTGGAGAGGCGTGAGAGGCTAAGAGCAGAGGCTCTTATCATGAGGTATTCACTGTAATAAGACAGTAAGACTGCTCGCTCAGGAAACTACGGGGAAGTAAGACAGAGATGGCTGACCTGGAATTTGCACAAGAGTTCTCCCCCCCCCAGCTGGGGAGGGGAGAGTTGAGGGTGAGAATGGGAACAGGACCCCTTTGAAACTCCGTTAATTCCCGTATTTAATCCCCCGGGATTAAATCAGTTACAGGTGACGTTCTGAGCAGGCTCATTTTCCTCCCTCAAAAAAAAAAATGGGGGCGCCTCCTGCCGCCCCTTCCCGGCAACGTCCTGCAGCCCCCGGGGGGAGATCGGGAGGCTGGACGTCTTCCGAATTAAGCCTGCGAAGGAACGGAGGAGAAAGAAGACAGCAGGCAGACACTACGCCGGGGGGGTCCCCCAACCCCAGAGCCACAGCCCACTATCGGGCCGTGAGCTGTTTGAAGCCGGGCCACGGAAGCAGGGGCAAGCGAGCACGCGCGGGCCTCCCCCTTGCGCGAGCAGCGGGGCACGTGCGGCAGGCGTGCGTGCCCAACCCCTCGTGCAAAGGGAGCTACTCGCCCGCTTGCGGGACCATCCCGGCCCCCCTCCACCCCCCCCCCGACTGCAAAACTGGAAAGGCCGGGGAACAACTCTGCATGACGGGAAGCGCAACAGAGGACACGGCTCTCTCTCGCCGTCTCGACCCTCTCCGAATCGCCCGTCGCTTGCTAAGGCAGGCACGAGGTGACCGGGAGGGGTTCTTCGGCCTCCCGGCTTCTCCTTTGCTTTGATTTACCTTCCTGGCGGAAGCAAACTCCACAAGCCACGATCCTCGTTCTGACTTTTTGCTCCGGGCCGAGTTCACGCTAGGGATGTGAGGCTCCGGGAGGCCAGAGCTGGGCACCTTTGCAGGGATACAGAAGGGAGCATCAGGGCTCTGGAGCTCAAGAGGAGGCGAGCCGACCGTGCAGGAAGGAAGGGGGCGTGAAAATAAGAGGCTGTTGTTTTACACTCCCCCCCCCATTCAAAAAAGGTACTGACTTCCCCGCCAAGAAGCTGAGTCCGCAAAAAAGCAAGGCTGCCTCACCTCCACTGCACCCCACGTATTTTTCCCTTCCTGCAAGGTTGGCGTGCTCAGGCTGCGGGTGGGGCTCGGGGGGCACACGCCAGCTGCTGGTGAAAAGGTGATTTGCACACTCGCTATCGAGAATCGCCCCGAAGGCACCGAGAAGCTGAAACAAACTTTTTTGTTTTTGCCTTGAGCCCCGGAGGCCAAACGCCGTCATCCCTCAATAAGCTTGTCAAGATTTAGAAAAAAGAAAAAAAAATGGAAATCTCAGCCGGACAGAATGATGGGCCTGGCTCCTGCTCAGTTAAGTCTTTTCAGGAAGAGACCACGGCCGATGGCTGCTGTTGCTAGACCTTAACATCCTTTGGGAAACCCACTCCAAAAAAAAAAAAAAAAAAAAAAAGCAGACAATCACAGTGAGGATTCTCCGGTTGGAGGGTTCTTTTGACCTGCTCAGAGATCTGGGAGGAAAAAAAAAACAAAAACAAAACACACACACAAACACACAACCCTCTAGAGTGCTAAACTAAATTGGCAAAAGCTGAAGCCATTCCCAGTCAGTTTGATTTCCCCACAGGGGAAGATATGGAAGTAGTAGTAGTAGTAGTGAGGTGAAACCGGAGCTAGCCGCTTTCACGGTGTAAACAGTGCCTTCGCTGTGCCCGGGACCCTGACGGGTCTCTGCGGCACTACCTGATTCGTAATAGTGGGAAACGGTGGAGTAAACATGATCCTGCAGCCAGGCATGGTCGGGAAACGGATCCAAAGGCGTGGGTGGGGGGGAAAAAAGAGTCTCGGTTTACAAAGGCGGCATCGCGGGAATCGCCGCTACCGCCGCCGGAAGTCGGGGGGAGAGGAGAGGGGAGAGAAAAGGGGATTCCTGCCGCACGGACCAAGCGACACACAACTGCAGAAGGCGCGTTGGGCCCTCGTTGGGAACCGACCTTGACTTCAGCTCCTCCGAACGCGGAGCAAGGCTGGGGGGGGGGAAAAAAGACTCCGGCGAGGTTCCCGATTACCAACAACGTAAAAAGAAGGAAAAAAATAATAATAAAATACCTGAAATTCTATTCACTGCAACCTATTTCCCCTGTCCAGGACTTGGGGCGTACACAAGTTCCAGTCCCCCCCTCGAGCTTTTTTTTTTCTCCCCCCGCTGGAAAGACGACGAAGCCGAGCACGCTGGCGGTGCTCCGAATCCACACGCCCGGAGAAGCTCTGCTTTCATCCAGCGCGCTCACTGGAATGCTTGGTGGAAACGTGGCAAGGTGGTGGCCCCCAGCCCCGGGGAGAACATGGAGGGCAAGGGGTGCAGCGCCCCAAAGCCGAGCGAGGGGGCGGCTCCCGGGGAGGACTCCTGCGGCGGCAGAGCGGCGAGGAGGGACTGGGTCTCTCCCTGGGAATAACCCATCACCAGCCCCCCCGAGGAGACAGGGGGGTTGCAGGAGGGCAGGTTCAAGGGCAGGAAGCCCAGAAGGTGGGAAAAATCCATGTTAGCAGCACAGAGCGCTTCCGAAAGGAGAGCCGGGCTCTTGGAGAGCAGGCTCTCCTCCAGGCTGGCGGGCTGAGGGGGGGAGGAGGAGGAGGAGGGCTCGCCCGCGATCAGCGAAAGGCCTCCGGGCAGCTCTGCCAGGCAGCTGTCCACCTCTGCTTTGGGGATTTTGTCGGGGAAGTATGAGGTAGATCCGAGCTGGTACTTGGGGGGCGGCTGTGGCGGGGAGGAAGGTTCCAGAGGGTAGCTCATTCCCATCGGGAGAGGATTGGGGACTAGCGAAGGGGGCATCCCTGAGCCGGGCAGGGCCGGGACGTGCGCCCCGTACATGCCCATGGGCAGCATGCCAGGAAAGCCCTTGCCGCCCATCACCTCTCGGGAGGCCATGCACAAGACCGGACTGAGCTCCTCCTTGACTGCCACGGCCGAGCTGCAGCTGAGCAGGCCCAACATGTCCACGGGCTCCGCCTTGATCTTGAGCAGCTCCTGGGAGTGGCTCTTCTTCACGTGCCGGGTCAGGTGGTCCTTCCGGCCGAAGCGCTGGGCGCAGTACTGGCACAGGAAGTCCTTCCGCCCCGTGTGCACCACCAGGTGGCGCCGCACGTCCTTGCGGGTGTAGAAGCGCCGGTCGCAGTGGTCGCAGGGGTGCTTCTTCTCCTTGGCGCCGCCCGAGGGCCTGCGCGAGTGGGCCTTCAGGTGCTCCAGCAGCGCCTGGGTGCTCTCGAACACCTGCAGGCAGACCTTGCAGCTCAGGTCGCCGCTGGCCGCCGCGTGCATGGCCAGGTGACGCCGGTAGCCGAGCTTGGTGTTGTAGTTCTTGCCGCACTCGGGGCAGTGCAGGGCCTCCTTGTTGGGGTCGTGGGTGTGGAGGTGGTTGCGGAGGTGGTCCTTCCGGTGGAACATCTTCTCACAGTACATGCATTGGTGGGGCTTCTGGGCTGAGTGGGTGGCCAGGTGCCTTTTCGGGAAAGGAAGAAGGAAGGGGAGAATAACTGTAGCTGCCGTCTCTGCCTTGGCTGGACGTGGATGGAAGAGAACGGAATGGAAGAAGGAGCAAGGAAGGGAATGGAGAACAGAACAGGATAGGATATTGCAAGGCAGAACAGAACGGAGTGGAATGGAATGGAATAAAAACAGAATAGAATAGAATTAAAACAGAATAGAATAGAACAAGAAATAAGAACAGAACAGAATAAGAAATAAGAACAGAACAGAATAAGAAATAAGAACAGAACAGAATAAATGAGAAATAAGAATAGAACAAAATAGAACAGAACAGAATAAGAAATAAGAAAAGAATAGAATAGAAAGAATAAGAAATAAGAATAGAATAAAACAGAATAAGAAATAAGAATAGAATAGAATAGAGCAGAGTAAGAAATAAGAATAGAATAGAATAGAATTATGGAACGGAGTAGAATATTCTGAATTCTATTCTACTCTATTCTGAATTCTATTCTATTCTATTCTTTTAATTCTATTCTTTTAATTCTATTCTATTGTTCTGTTTTTATTCTATTCTATTCTATTCTACCCTACCCTATTCCATATTTTCTACTCCATTCCATTCCATATTTTCTATTCTATTCCATTCCATATTTTCTATTCTATTCCATATTTTCTATTCTATTCCATTCCATATTTTCTATTCTATTCCATTCCATATTTTCTATTCTATTCCATTCCATATTTTCTATTCCATTCCATATTTTCTATTCTATTCTATTCTTATTCCATTCCATATTTTCTATCCCATTCCATATTTTCTATTCTATTCCATTCTATTCCATTCCATATTTTCTATTCTATTCCATTCTATTCCATTCCATATTTTCTATTCTATTCCATTCTACTCCATTCCATATTTTCTATTCTATTCCATTCCATATTTTCTATCCCATTCCATATTTTCTATTCTATTCCATTCCATATTTTCTATTCTATTCCATTCTACTCCATTCCATATTTTCTATTCCATTCCATTCCATATTTTCTATTCCATTCCATTCTTTCATTTATTAAATTTTCTATTCCAACCCTCCCCCCTGCAAGCTGGCTCTTGGGCAGCTTAGCCTACCTGCCAATATTCCCTCCCTCCCACCCCCAAACCAGGTGAGCTCGGAGGATTTGAACCCGGCCCTGCCCGGCCCTGAACTCCCCTCCGATCGCCCAGCGTACCTGTAGAGCTTGTACTTGGAGGCAAAGGCCTTGCCGCAGTGCAGCTGAGGGCAGCAATAGGGTCTGGGTTCCGGGCTGGCTCTCAGCTTCTCCACGCCAGGGAAGGCGGCTTCCGACAGCTCATACTGGCACTTGCCTGGACTCTGGCTCTCTCGGGTTCTGGGCCTGGGCACTAGTTTCCAGCCCAGCTCCCCCTCGTCCTGCTTGGCATCTTGAATCCAATTGGGAACACTGGTGAAGAAGGCGGTCATGGCAGGCCTGACGGAGGAGGGCCACACAAAGTAGAATTGCTGCTCTTGGGCATCTCACTGGTCCAGGAGCATCCACCCTAGTCACCCTTTTCAAAGACTTCAGTAGACAGAGTTGAGGTCCTGGAAGGAACAAAGGGAATTCGTAAGGGGAGGGGGGGGGAAATGACACACAACCACACGGAAGGACCCTAATCCTTGACTGAGCCCAAAACCTCCACTCCTAAGCACCACACCTGTTAAGTGAGTAACACTTAACCGCCAAAAAAGCCAACACAGTGCTGGGCTGCATCAACAGAGGGACAGAATCAAGATCACATGAAATGTTGATACCGCTTTACAAGGCCTTGGTAAGGCCACACTTGGAATACGGCATCCAGTTTTGGTCACCACGATGTAAAAAAGATGTTGAGACTCTGGAAAGAGTGCAGAGAAGAGCAACAAAGATGATTAGGGGACTGGAGGCTAAAACATATAAGGAACGGTTGCTGGAATTGGGTAAGTCTACTTTAATGAAGAGAAGAATGAGGGGGGACATGATAGCAGCCTTCCAGTATCTCAGGGGCTGCCCCAAAGAAGAGGGAGTCAAGCTATTCTCCAAAGCGCCTGAAGGCAGGACAAGAAGCAATGGATGGAAACTCATCAAGGAGAGAAGCAACCTAGAACTAAGGAGAAACTTCCTGACAGTGTGAACAATTAACCAGTGGAACAACCTGCCTCCAGAAGTGGTGAATGCTCCATCACTGGAAGGTTTTAAGAAGAGACTGGACAGCCATTTGTCTGAAATGGTATAGGGTTTCCTGCCTGAGCAGGGGGTTGGACTAGATGACATCCAAGGTCCCTTCCAACTTTATTATCGTTATTATTATTATTACTATTACTACTACTACTACAGTCATTAAGTGAAGCTGGCTTACTACTGCTACTACTACTACTACTACTACTACTACTACTACTACTACTTTTACTACAGTCATTAAGTGAAGTTGGCTTACCCATTGAGTTTGTTTGTCAGGTCACAAAAGGGGGATCCTGTGACCCTGCGACCGTCATAAATACGCCTCAGTTGACAAGCGTCTGAATTCTGATTACATGACCGGGGGAGGCTGCCAAGGTGTTACACCAAAACTGTACTACTATTTCTAAACGACTTCAAAGATAAACAGTCCACCAAGTCCTATCTTGGTTGACTGCAGGTAGTCCTCGACTTACAACCGTTCATTTAGTGACCGCACAAAGTTACAAAGGCACGGAAAGAGGTGACGCGACCGTTTTGCACACTGACGACTGTTGCAGCGTCCCCCGGGGTCACGCGATCAAAATTCAGACGCTTGGCCACTGACTCGTACTTATGACGGTCGCGGCGTCCCGGGGAGGGTCACGTCGTCCCCTTTTGTGACTTTCCGACAAGCCAAGTCAGTGGGGGTAAACCGGATTCGCTTAACAACCGTATTACTAACTTAAGCACTGCACGGATTCGCTTAACAACCCATGGCAAGAGAGGTCGTAAAACAGGAGAAAACTCAGGAAACATCTCACTTAGCAACAGAAGTTTTGGGCTGTGAGTCGTAAGCCAAGGACTATCTGTGTCAAGTCCTTGCAACAAGACACACACAGCCTCTTCTCTTACCTGTCAAAGCACCTCAGTCTGAATATGTGCTCATTTTAAAAACTGCAGCCTTTGTTGGAAAAAAGGACTTTATTCCAATTCAGAACGAGGTGTGCAGGTGGCACACAAGGCAGAAGCCCGCAATGTTTGTGTACCTGCTTTGGAATTTGGTGAGCAAACAAGGCAGCTTTTCACTCAGTTGCACCCGGTCCAAGTGAGTCAAATATGACAAGGTCAGATAACCTCAGAGGGGTGAAAACAGGCTCTCGGCTCCAGTAATTTTCCCTATCCCCCCCCCCCATCACCAAATGGGATGGACAGTTTCCCTCATTTAAAAGGCAGGAAGTCCTCGGCTTACGACCGCAGCCGAGCCCAACGTTTCTGTGGCTAAGCCGAGACGTTTGCGAAGTGAGTTTTGCCCCCTTTTACGACTCTTTCTCCTGGCCACACTTCCTAAGGGAATCACTGCCAGATGTTAAATTAGTCGCACGGTTGTTAAAGCGGAATCTGGCTTCCCCCATCAACTTTGCTGGCCAGAAGGTCGCAAAAAGGGGATTGCATGACTCCGGGACCCTGAAACGGTTATAAATGTGAGTCAGTTGTCAAGCATTTTTGATCCCGTGACCACAGGGATGCTACAATGGTCGTAAGTGTGAAACACAGTTCTAAGACATTTTTTCAGGGCCCTTGTAACTTGGAACGGTTAAGTCGCGGGCTACCGGTATCCCTTTTGCAGACGCTTATGTTTTGTTTACGTGATGTAGTAAATTACAAACTAGCCAATTGTGGGTTGGGTGACCCCAGGAAACTTAAAACTCCCAGAATTCCTCAGCCAGCATGGGGGAACTATGGCCCCCTCATGACTCATGGACTTCAATTCCCAGAATTCCTGAGCCAGCATGGGGGAACTATGGCCCCCTCATGACTGGTGGACTTAAACTCCCAGAATGCCTGAGCCAGCATGGGGGAACTATGGCCCCATGACTTGCGGACTTCAACTCCCAGAATTCCTGAGCCACCCTGGCTCAGCTTGGAAACCTCTCCCTTTCCCCTCAGCATGGCTGGCTGAGGAATTCTGGGAGTTGAAGTCCACCAGTCATAAAAGAACCAAGGTTGCCTACCCCTGCCTAAGGCCAACTGAATGGGGGGGGGGGGGAACTATCCCAACCAGCATTCTGTATCTCATAAAATAATAAAAACAGCTGCAAAATGCACATAATTTGTTCCATGGAAACACTTGCGAGCACTTATGCCTCTGTAGCTACTTTTCATCACGCCCCAAAGGTAACAAAATCACACAAGAAATCTTTTCAGACAGGAAATAGATGTTATATTGGGGGGGGGGGAGAGAAAGTATTATGGACTCCTACATTGCTACTTTTTTTGGAAAGAAACTGTGCTTTTTCTGTTAGAAGAGAATACTTGTGGGTTCCTTGGTGCTCTCTGAGCTTGGTGGTTTTCTTGCAGATGTTTGGTTACACAATTAGCTAACACCATCAGTGCTAGAAGGGAGTGGAGATTGCAGAAAGGAGGAAAAGGAGAAGAGGAGGAGAAAAGAGGAAAAGGAGAAATATGGAGGTCCTTGGTGCTCTCTAAGCTGGGCCATTTTGTTACAGGTATTTCATGACCCTACTAAATAGGGAACATCATCCGTGTTAAAAAGAGAGTGGGGTCTTTGGTTCTCTCTGAGATGGGCTGCTTTCTGGCAGATATTTCATGGCCCAATCAGGGAATATGTTCAGTGCTAGAAGGGAAATGGACAGCAAATCCCTCTCCCTTCTAATACTGATGATGTGACCTAGTTGGGTCATGAAATGTCTGCAGGAAAATCAGCAAGCTCGGAGAGCACCCAGGAAGCCACAGTCCTCCTCCTCTCTGCACATCCCCCCTTGCTTCTAACACTGATAAAGTTACCTCCTTGGCTAATGAAACGGCCACAAGAAAGCAATCAAGGTCAGAGAGCACAGAGGGTCCACAGTCCTCCCTCTATCATTCCAGAAACACCCACCCCCATCTAGCACTGATGATGCTGCCTAGTTGGGTCATGAAACGTGTGTAAGAAAACCACCAAGCTCCAAAGGATCCCACAGTCCTATTTGTCTTCTTTTCTTGTGGCAGCAAAACAAATGAACTTGTGCCCTTTCCTTAGATTGGGGATCTTCAAACTTGGCCCTTTTATGACTTGTGGACTTCAACTCCCAGAATTCCTCAGCCAGGCGGCTGAGGAATTCTGGGAGTTGAAGTCCACAAGTCACAAAAGGGCCAAGTTTGAAGACCCCTGGCTTAGATGGAACAGCTGCCCACTTCTTACCCAGGACCCCAGAGACCAAGCAAGGCGTTTGCACAAAGCAGGAAAGAGGGAAGAGACCTTCCTGACACCACTGGATGCAATCTGAAAACCTTCCAGCCCTGAGATGTGACTCCATCCAGCGCAGCTTTTCTCAATCTTGGCTACTGTGGACTTCAACTCCCAAAATTCCCAGCCAGCATGCTTTAAGATGGATGGGCTTCAACTCCCAGAATTCCCAGCCAGCATACTTTAAGATGGGTGGTCTTCAGCTCCCAGAATTCCCCAGCCACCATGTTTTCAGAGGGGTGGGCTTCAACTCCCAAAATTCCCCAGCCACATTTTAAGAGGGGTGGACATCAATTCCCAGAATTCCCAGCCACCATGCTTTAAGATGGGTAGACTTCAACTCCCAAAATTCACTAGCCACTCTGTTTTAAGAGGGGTGGACTTCAACTCCCAGAATTCCCCAGCCACGTTTTAAGAGGGGTGGACTTTGACTCTCAGAATTCCCCAGCCAACATGCTTTAAGATGGGTGGGCTTCAACTCCCAAAATTCCCCAGCCAACATGCTTTAAGGTGTATGGACTTCAACTCCCAGAATTCCCCAGCCACATTTTAAGAGGGGTGGACTTCAATTCCCAGAATTCCCAGCCACCATGCTTTAAGATAGGTAACTTCAACTCCCAGAATTCACTAGCCACTCTGTTTTAAGAGGGGTGGACTTCGACTCCCAGAATTCCCAGCCATCATGTTTTGAGAGAGAAGCACTTCAACTCCCAGAATTCCCCAGGCAGCTATAACTACAGTTATCCTGGGAATTGAAGTCCACCCATCTTCAAGCAGCCAAGATGGAGACACTCTGGTCCAGAGGAAGACCAAAGCGCCCCACTTCCAGGAGAAACCCCCCCCTCAGGCCCAAATAAAGCGACCCCAACTGAAAATAAAGAGTCTCCAAAGACCCTTCTTGGGCCCTCTTCCTGGTTTCTGGTCCTTCGATTGGATTTCCTCACAAACGTCCCCCCCACATGTGCCGGGGGGGGCAAGCACCCCCCCATCCACGGGCGCCCGAAACGTCCCGCCGAGCCGTTCAGGCAGCGCGCATGCGCCCTTGAGCGCGCTGCCTCCTCCCTCCCTCCCGCCCGGCCTGCTTCGCTCTTCCTTTCTCCACCTCACCCCCCCCCCGCGCGCGCGGGGCCCTCCTTGTGCCGTTTTTCCCCGCTCCGTTTCCGCGCTCACCGCCGCCGTGGCTCCCCTCCTGGCGCCTCGAGTGCCCGGAGGGAAGGGAGGAAGGCCCGAGGGTTGCCGCAGGAGCCCGGGGCGAGGCAGAGGCCCCATGGCGGGGCGTGTGGGCGTCGGGAGGGAGGGAAAGGAGGCGACGAAGGGCGACGAGGCCTCCGGCCCAGCAGCCTGTGATTTTTTTCCTCAGGCGGGCTGGCTCGCGCCGCTCAAGGCCTCCATGGCGCCACTTCCGGCCCGGACCGGAAGTCACCCCGTCCTGCCCTGCCAGGCGCGCGCGGGGCCTGGCGGGAGGGGCGGGGCGGGGCCGGGCCGGGCGAGCCGGTTTCTATGGAGACGGCCCGAGAGGCCTAACTAGGCCGCGGCCTCTTCTGTGGAGCCAGGCGGCGATGGCGGCGGCGGCGCTCGGTGTCCTCCTGTTCTGCCTCTTGCTCCCGAGCCCCGGCTGCGCCGACGACGGCTGGGACCCGTCCGGATACCTGCTCTATTGCCCCTGCATGGGTGAGGCCCGGTTCCGCCGCTTCGGGGCTGCCGTTCCTGCTCTTCCGCCCATGGGTTGAGAGAACGATGTAGGCGGCGGGTGGACTTGCCCCGGTTCCCTTCGCCCTGCGCTGCCGGCCTCCGACGGGACGCCTTCCTCGGGGGCTGGACTACAACTCCCATCATCCCCGGGAGTCCTGCTGGCGAGGGGGGTGCGATTGGGCAAGGCTTTAGGACGGGTGGGGAAACCATAGGCCCGTGGATGACTTGTGGACTACAACTCCCAGGAGGCCTGAGCCAGCATGACTGGCTGGGGAATTCTGGGAGTTGAAGTCCACAAATTCACAAAAGGGCCCATGGTTCCCCACCCTTGCTTTAGGGGAAAGGGAGCTCCAAAGAAGGAGGGGGTCTTCAAGGTCTTTCTGCAGCTCCCTTTGCTTGCATTTTATTTAATTTAACTTGGTGGAAGGATGAAATGTGTGGGGCCGCCCCTCTTTTAGGCTGCTTATTTATTTCTTTGTTAAGTTTATTTGCTGCCTATCTCACCCTGGGGCTTCTCTAAGCGGCTTTATATCTATCTATCTATCTATCTATCTATCTATCTATCTATCTATCTATCTGTTTTTATCTATCATCTATATCTATCTATCTATCTATCTAGATTGATAGATATAGATATATTTATTACTGGTATATATATATAAAGCCGCTTAGGGAAACCCCAGGGTGATATATATATATTTTACAGGTAGTCCTCAACTTACAACAGTTCACTTAACGACCGTTCAAGGATACAACAGCACTGAAAGAAAGTAACATGACTGTTTTTCACACTTACGACCACTCACCCCGTGGGTCACGTGATCAAAATTGGGACACTTGGCAACTGGTTCATACTTACGACGGTTGCATTGTCCTGGGTTCGTGTGATCCCCTTTTGCGACCTTTTGACCAGCAAAAGTCCATGGGGAAGCAGGATTCATTTAACAACTGTGTCGATGACTTAACTGCAGTGATTCACTTAACAACAGAGGCAAGAAAGGTTGTAAAATGGAGCAAAACTCAGAACAACAGAAAACTCGCTTAACAAAAGAAATTTTGAGCTCAATTATAGTTGTAAGTGGAGGACTGCCTCTGTTGCACTGGGGCTGCTTCTGCTACTAAAACTCACAACAGCCCAAAAGGTGTGTTATTTCTTGCACGAGTCTACCCCGCCCACTCCCATAATCCGTTCGTATACAGGTAGTCCTCGACTTAACGACCACGATTGGGACCAAAATGTCCATTGCTAAGCAAGGTGGTTAAGTGAGTCATGCCCAATGTTAACGACCTTTGTGCCACAATTGTTAAGCGAATTGTGTGGTCATTAACTGAATCCAGCTTCCCCCATTCACTGTGTATTAGAAATTGGTGGGGAAGATCTTAATGGGCATAAATCCACGCAAGTTGCCATGCGCTTGAATTTTGACAACGTGACTGGGAACGCTCCGAAGGTTGTAAGTGCGAGGATTGGTCATAAGTCTTTTTTTTGCCACTGCAGTTGCAGCTTTGAACAGTCGCTAAACGAATGGTTATAAGTTGAGCACTGTCCGTAACTGAGGAGATTGCTGAAGATTGTCCCAAAGCTTTGCACATACTGCTCGTTATGTACAGAAGCCCAAGAGGGCAAACTGAGTGCTCACGTTGCCCCCGAACAATATCCCTGCGAGGTAGGTGGGCTGAGAAGACGCATGAGAGACTCTGAGCCCCCCAGGGAGTTTCTGTGGCTGAACGGGGGCCAGAATCTGGGTCTCCCACTTCTAGGCCTGAGCTTAGATACAGCTTTACATCTTGAAACCTCCAAGGTCTCTAAATTAGGGATCTCCAATCTTTTTTCGTTGGCGGCCCAGTGCAGGGTGGGTAGAGAGGCCTTTATGCGCACGTGCACGAAGGGGGCTGCAAGCGCATGCAAGAACGGGGCCACGATTGCGCGTGCAAGAACAGGGCCACGAGCACCCGCGCAATGCTTGGGCGACACTAGCGTCCACCTGCCACAATGCTAGCATGAGTGGGGGGGTGTCCTCGTGACGCTAGCTAGCGCCTGTACGATGCTCACAGCATTGGGAGCACCTGCGTGACGCGAGCATGAGTAGGGGGTGTGCGCACACGCACACTGACCAGCCACTCAGCCCAGTGGTCAACAGCCCACGGCCCGCTAGTGGGCCGTGGCCCACATGTTGGGGACCTCTGCTCTAAACCCTGATTACCCATTCTTCATTTCATTTGTGTGGCTGCCCATGTAATGGGGGATTGTTCGTTCATTAATCAATTTAAATTTATGTGCTGCCCGTCTCGCTATCCAGAATGGGGATCTGGGGTTGAGCTCCACTTGGGAGTACAGATGATCCTCGACTTAACAACAGTTTGTTTAGTGGCCGAAGTTATGACGGCACTGAAAAAGGTGGCTTATGACGTATTTTTTTACACGTATGACCGTTGCAGCGTCCCCGTGGTCAGGTGATCGAAATATGGACGCTTGGCAACTGCATCGTATTTATGACAGTGACCGTCTCCTGGGGTCATGGGGTCATCTGACAGGCAAAGCAGACTCACTTAGTGTGTTACTAGTTTAATAACTGCAGTGATTTACTTAAGGATTCTAAAATGGGGCGAAACTCGCTTAACAACGGGTCTCGCTTAGCGACAGAATTTTTGGGGTCGGTTGCGGTCGTAAGTCGAGGACTGCCTGTCTCCTTTAATTTCAGCCTCACGCTTGAACTCGGCCTTAATGGAAGGAGAAAGAGCGTCCTAAAGGCCTGGCCAGACTTAACGCTGCCCTTTCCTTGCCCGGCGAGTAACAGACGGTCCTTTATGTTCTGTTCCAAGGGAGATTCGGGAATCAAGCAGATCACTTCCTCGGATCTTTAGCGTTTGCGAAGACGATGAATCGGACGCTGGCTGTGCCTCCCTGGATTGAGTACCGGCATCACAGGCCTCCCTACACGAATGTATGTTTCATTTATAGGCTGCCCGTCTCCTTGCCAAGCGACTCCGTTAGCCGGTTGGATTGGATTCAGAGCTTTGGATGTATTATTTATTTGATTTTTATCCCGCATTAATTGTTGTTTATAAATAATTCAAACTGGTGAGCCTACCTACTGCTACTTCCTCCCGTTTTCCTTACAACAACAACAACTCGGTGGGGTGGGGTGGGCTGAGGGAGTGACTGGCCCAATCACCCGACTGGCTTTCATGCCTGAGGCGGGACTAGAACTCTCGGTCTCCTGGTGATTGGCCCAAAGTCATCCAGCTGGTTTTGACACCTAAGGCGGGACTAGAATTCACTGTCTCCTGGTGATTGGCTGAAAGTCACCCAGCTGGTTTTCACGCCTAAGGCGGGACTAGAATTCACCGTCTCCTGGTGATTGGCCCAAAATCACCCAGCTGGCTTTCATGCCTAAGGCGGGACTAGAATTCACCGTCTCCTGGTGACTGGCCCAAAATCACCCAGCTGGTTTTCACGCCTAAGGCGGGACTAGAATTCACCGTCTCCTGGTGACTGGCCCAAAGTCACCCAGCTGGTTTTCATGCCTATGGCGGGACTAGAATTCACCGTCTCCTGGTAATTGGCCCAAAGTCATGCAGCCAGTTTTCATGCCTAAGGCGGGACTAGAATTCACCATCTCCTGGTGACTGGCCCAAAGTCACCCAGCTGGCTTTCATGCCAAAGGCGGGACTACAACTCCCTGTCTCCTGATGATGAGTGGCCCAAAGTCACCAATTCCGCTTTTGTGCCTACGGCGGGACTAGAACTCACCGACTCCTGGTTCCCAGCTCAGCACCTTAACTGCCTCTGATGTACCGGTGGAGATCATTGCAAGCTCCCTTTTTGAGACCCCCCCCCTACTCATTTCAAGACTGTATCCCGCCCGCCCACTTGTCCTCTGAATAGTGGCCAGCTTTTTATTAAACCATGCTGTGCATTGGCTATCGTTAAGTAATTCATGTGTTCAGTGTATTTGTGTAAATACGAGTTTCTTTTTATTGCAGCTCCACGTTCCTTACCAGGAATATTTCAAGCTGGCCCCTCTGCTGGAATACCACCGGGTGATTAGCTTGGAGGAGTTTATGGAAAAGCTGGCACCCACCCACTGGCCTCCTGGGCGGAGAGTGGCGTATTGCTTTGAAGCAGCCGCTGAGAGAAGTTCTGACAAAAAGACCTGCCCTATGAAGGTAGGAGGATCTGGGGAGAATTCAAGATTTTTTCTACTTCTCCCCAAGGTGCTTTTTCAAGTTTTCTCAGAAAACTGACCGGTAGGTGAGGAATCTTGACTGACAGCTGACGCCAGGGGTCTTCCAACTCGGCCCTTGGATGACTTGTGGACTTCAACTCCCAGAATTCCTCAGCCAGGCTGAGGAATTCTGGGAGTTGAAGTCCACAAGTCATCCAAGGGCCGAGTTGGAAGACCCCTGGCTTAACGCAAACAGAATACAAATGTTTTGGCCAAGCCACAAGGGTCAGCCATCGGGAACAATAAACTGACAGAACCAGAAGCAGGACCATTAAGGGTGACGGTCGCAGTGTCCGTGTGTGTGTGTGCGTCTGTGTGTGTGTGAGACACGTGATCTCCTTTTGCGACGTTCTGACGAGCAAAGTCGATGGGGGAAGCCCGGCTCGGCTAGCAACCGGGTTATTAACAACTCAATAACTGGGGTCAAGAAAAGTCGTCAAATGAATGTATTGACTAGTGTTATTTTCTTTGGTTGATATTGTGATAAAAGATCTATGTTTTTGTTTTTAATTGAAAAATTAATAAAAATTTATTAAAAAAAAAAAAGAAAAGTCGTCAAATGAGGCAAAAAAACTTCATTTAACCAATGTCTCACTTAGCAACGGAAACGTTGGGCTCCATTGCGGCCATGCGTCGAGGACTTGCCTGCCTGCCTGCACTTTTCAGGAAAGAGCCTGCCCCCCCCCCCCACCTCTGCCTTGCTTCTGCTGTCGTGGATGGACCTCACTTTGTTTTGTTTTTTTCCAGGATGGGAACCCCTTTGGGCCTTTCTGGGATCAGTTTGGAGTGGAATTTGAGAGGTCGGAGCTGTTCGGAGGCCTCTCCTTCAGCGCCTTTTACAAGGACGACTGGAACCGAAGGTAGCAAGTGGGGAATTGCTGACTGGGCAGGAATGATGATGATGATGATGTTGGAAGGGACCTTGGAGGTCATCTAGTACAACCCCCTGCTCAGGCAGGAAACCCTATACCAGTGATGGCGAACCTTTTAGAGACCGAGTGCCCAAACTGCAACCCAAAACCCACTTATGCATCGTCGGGTGCCGGGTGGGTGTGGCCCATTGGGTGGGTGTGGCCAATTGGTGTGTGGCCCATTGGGTGGGCGTGGCTGCGGTGGTAACGGCAGACTGGGTGGGATTAAAAAGTTCAATCAATCAATTCCAGCTTTGCAAGATCTTTTTTTCCCCATGAGAAGTTGAAATTGACTGATTGATTGAACCTTTTTTTTTTTTTGCACACGGCAGCAGAGGCCTAAAGCGAAAAGGTTTTATAAAACCCAGCTGAAGGCCCAGGACTGGGGCGACAGTGCGCGTGCCCACTGAGAGGGCTCTGAGTGCCGCCTCTGGCACCCGTGCCATAGGTTCGCCACCACTGCCCTATACCATTTCAGACAAAGGGCTGTCCAGTCTCTTCTTGAAAACTTCCAGTGTTGGAGCATTCAGAGCTTCTGGAGGCAGGTTGTTCCACTGGTTAATTGTTCTCACTGTCAGGAAGTTTCTCCTTAGTTCCAGGTTGCTTCTCTCCTTGATTAGTTTCCATCCATTGCTTCTTGTCCTGCCTTCAGGTGCTTTGGAGAATAGCTTGACTCCCTCTTCTTTGGGGCAGCCCCTGAGATACTGGAAGGCTGCTATCCTGTCCCCCCTCGTCCTTCTCTTTGTTAAACTAGACATCCCCAATTCCAGCAACCGTTCCTTCTATGTTTTAGCCTCCAGTCCCCTAATCATCTTTGTTGCTCTTCTCTGTACTCTTTCTAGAGTCTCAACATCTTTTTTGCATCGCGGTGACCAAAACTCAATGCCGTATTCCAAGTGTGGCCTTAACCGAGGCCTTGTAAAGTGGTACTAACACTTCACATTATCTTAATTCTATCCCTCTGTTAATACAGCCTAGCACTGTGTTGGCCTTTTTGGCAGCTGCAGCACACGGCTGGCTCATATTTTTGGAAATACTACCATAAAATTATAAATCAATGGAAAGATAATTTAATCAAGAATGTAATGCAACGAAGTTTGTTCAATTATCTGTACTGAATTCTATGAAAAGCTATAGCCAAATAACCAGAAAAAGGAAGCACAACTTGCTTAGGTTGATATCAGGTAGCTTTCCTTCATCCGATTGTAATAATAATAATAATAATAATAATAATAATAATAATAATAATAATAATAATAATAATAATAATAATAAAGTTGGAAGGGACCTTGGAGGTCATCTAGTCCAACCTCCTGTTTAGAAAGCCAGTCAGGTGTCATCTTGTTTTGGCAATGAGCCAATCAGATCACAGTAGGATTCAGTCATTGATCTCCTGTATTGAAGCTGAGAGGACATTTGTCAGTGTATTATGTGATCACTATCAAGTTGGTTGGGAGGTTTTTTTTGGTGTTCTTTCATTTAGTGAGCTTGTATAACATAATAAAATTAAAGTCATGGTGCAAAGAATTGACTGGTTGCCCAGAAAGTGGTGTAAAATAGTATTATTAAGCGAACAAGGCTACAGTTATAAAGAAATTATAAGAAAAATGGGTGGAAACTTAACCAAAGGCAGCATTTCTACTGTACACTTTTCCCCAAAGGTTTCCACAATTTTGGCCCCTACTGTACATATGAAAGGGCAACGGTCTCTGTGCTTCTGTGTTCTCTTCCCCACTTGATTCAGACTTAACAGTCCGGCTGGCAGGTCTTTTTTTCCTTTGGCCACCGAGAGAAAGGATGAATAATTGTGTTTCTCCTCTGTTTTCTCTTAGGTTTCCACTCTCTGAACATCCTGTTCTCGCCCTCCCAGGTGCTCCGGCCCAATTTCCTGTCCTGGAAGAGAACCGTCCCCTGCAGCGCTACATGGTTTGGTCTGATGAGATGGTGGAGAAAGGAGAGTCCTATATCAAGTCACTCCTGATCAGACCCTATGTGGGAATTCATTTGCGTGTGGGTTCAGATTGGGTAAGCGCCCGATCCAGAGGCTCGTGTTTTCCACAAGTTCTGTTGTGTTTGGCTGCCACACCAATGACAAAGACACAAGACTGAATCGACAAGGAGAGATTGGACCCCCATGGGTCCAGAATGGTTTAGCCCAGGGGTCTTCAAACTTGGCCTTTTTATGACTTGTGGACTTCAACTCCCAGAATTACTCAGCCAGGTATGCTTGCTGAGGAATTCTGGGAGTTGAAATCCACAAGTCATCAAAGGGCCAAGTTTGAAGACTCCTGATATAGACTTTAAGAGGAGTGGACTTCAACTCCCAGAATTCCTCAGCCAGCATGCCTGGCTGAGGAATTCTGGGAGTTGAAGTCCACAAGTCATCAAAGTGCCACGTTTGTAGACCCCTGGTATAGGGTCTCCTGCTTGAGTAGGGGGTTGGACTAGAAGACCTCCAAGGTCCCTTCCAGCACTGTACAGGTAGCCCTTGACGTACGACCACAATCGACCCCCAAATTTTGGTTGCTAAGCGAGGCAGTTAAGTGAATCTTGCCCCATTCTACGACCCTTCTTGCCACAGTTCTTAAGTGAATCATTATAGTTGTTAAGCTAGTCACACCGTTGTTAAACGAATCTGACTTCTCCATTAACCTGGCTTGTCAGAAGGTCACAAAAGGGGATCACATGATCCCGGGGACACTGTAACCGTCATAAATATGAGTCAGATGCCAAGTATCTGAATTTTGATCCCGTGACCACGGAGGGTGCTGCAATGGTCGTAAGAGTGGGAAAACGGTCATAAGTCACTTTTTTTCTGTGCCGTCGCTAAACGAGATGTAAGTCACGGAACTATACAATCATTGATCCCCGAAGCCAATAACGTAAATATGAACAGTCACTTGTCTGAGACAGTATAGGTCCTCCTGCTTGAGGAAGGGCTGGACTAGAAGACCTCCAAGGTCCCTTAAAGCTGTATTCTGTTCTAAAAGAGAAGCCAGAGTTAGCTGTGTTATATTTTCTTTTTTTTAAAGTTTTTATTATTTTTTTTCCATACATACAATAATAATTTTTCAATCAACGTGCTGTCTGAGTTTGACTACGCTAATACATATTTAATTCCTAATACTTTATTCTTTCTTCTAGCCATCAATAAAATAAGTCCTAAGTTTGGTAATATTCTGTTGCTTCTTTTTTTTTCAGTCTCATGGTCAATCTGTCCATCTCTGCGCATTCTAGTATTTTTTTATTATTATTATTATTTCTTCCTCTGATGGTATTCCTTCATTTTTCCAATACTGCGCAAATAAAATTCTTGCCGCTGTTATGACATGCAAAATCAAATATAGGCTTTGTTTATTAGTCTTTTCTGGCATTGTACCCAATAAAAAAAAATTTGAGGTTTAAAATCTACGTGTTCTTCCCACATCTCATCTTTTCTAGTCAAGTGTGTATCTTTTTCCAATAGTTCTTTGCTTTATGACGTCCACCAAACATGATAATACGTGCCTGACATGTTTACATTTCCAACATCTACCTGACATATTTTTAAACATTCTTGTTAATCTTGCTGGTGGCAGGTGCCATCTATACAGAACATTTTATATCAATTTTCTTTATAAGAAGTTGACCTTGTCCATTTGTAATTTCTTGCCCCTAAAGTTTGCCGTTTTTCTCATTCTATATTATATCCCAAAAAAAATTCGCCCATCTTACCATTGTTTCTTTAACTTGTTCAGCTTTCCATTTCCAAAGTTACCTGTGTTATCTTTTCTACTTTCTGTCTTCTCTTAGAAAAATGCTTGCAATCTGCTGAAGGAGGGCACTGCTGGGTCACATTTAATGGCATCCCCACAGTGTGTGGGCTATGATCGCAACAACGCCGCGCCCCTCACCATGGATATGTGTTTGCCGGACCTGAACGAGATCAGGCGTGCCGTGAAACTCTGGGTGGAAAAGATAGAGGCGAAAGCCGTGTTTGTGGCCACCGATTCTGAGCCCTACACCCAGGAGATACAGCAGTGTTTCCAAGACAAGGTAATCTTCATGAAATAATAAAATTATAATAAGATAACGTTTAGGGTCATTGTTTTACAGTGGGCACCCTGGCACGCATTGAAAATGAGATTCTGTTGCCTGCTCAGAAGTGTACACGTACATAACATACATACAGAAATGCTATAGACATGCGTATGTGTACGCCCTCACCCTTACATATAAATACATATAAATAATAAATCCCTGTCCATCTTGAAGACATAAGAGAAGGAGGAAGCTTGAGAGTTCACAAGGTTGATACTGTATGGCAGGGGTCCCTAACCCCCGGTCCATGGACTGGCACCGGGCCGCAGCATGCCAGCAACCGGTCTGCACGAACAAGCAAAGCCCCATCCGTGGGATGCAGGCAGCACGCAAAACCACGTACTCTCCGGTCCGTGGAAAAACCTCTCTCCACGGAACCGGTCCCTGGTGCCCAAAAGTTTGGGGGCCTCTGCTGTGTGGCACAAAAAGGACTGAATCTGGATGTTCTGCTTCGGATGTTCTGCTTCTCCTGTTTGAGCAGGGGGCTGGATTAGAAGACCTCCAAGGTCCCTTCCAGCTCCTATTCCATCCTATTCTATTCTAATCTAATCTATTCTATTCTGTATTTCTATTCTATTCTGTATTTCTATTCTATTCTACAATCTGTCTATTCTATTCTATTCTGTATTTCTATTCTATTCTGTATTTCTATTCTATTCTATTCTGTATTTCTATTTTATTCTACAATCTGTCCTATTCTATTCTATTCTATTCTATATTATTCTGTATTCTATCCTATCCTATCCCCTATCCCAGTCATGGCGAACCTTTTAGAGACTGAGTGCCCAAAAACTGGCCCTGCTCCCGCTCCACCCCCTGCCCTGCCCCCCTTCTGCCCCCCAATCCCCTGCCCTGCCTCCCCGCAGGGCCACTCACCGCCTCCTGGGCCCACCGCACATCGCTCTGGCAGCCCAGCAGTGCTATGGCGGTCACGCCCTCTGCCCGCGCCCTGCAGCATCAACTATGCACGATGGGGTGTGAGGGCAGAGTCTTGTCTATACTGCCTGGCTGCCATGTCCTTGGCTGCGCTGCTCCGCTCAGGGGCAACTCTCCTCCAGGGGGCTGCTGGAGAGGAGGGGGTCACGGGGGGAGGCAAGGCTGGGGCAATGACATGTGTGCCCACAGAGAGGGCTCCAAGTGCCACTTCTGGCACCCGTGCCATAGGTTCGCCACCACTGCCCTATCCTATCCCCTATTCTATTCTATTCTATTCTATTCTATTCTATTCTATTCTATTCTATTCTATTCTTCCACTCCACTCCATTCCATAATTTCTATTCTAATTCTATTCTGTTCTGTTCTATTCTATTCTATTCTATTCTATTCTTCCATTCCATTGCATTCCATAATTTCTATTCTATTCCATTCCATTCCGTTCCGTTCCATTGGCAGTGAGATACAGGAAGTCCTGTAACTTTGGGCCAGTGACCAGGAGAGGGCGAGTTCTAGTCCTGCCGTAGGCACGAAAGCCCAGCTGGGTGACTCTGTGCCAGTCAATCTCTCTGAGCCCAACCCACCTCTCAGGATTATTCCTGTGGGAAAAATAGGAGGAAGGAGTATATTGACCACCGAGTCATTTATAAAAATGATGGAGGAAGGATATTAATAAATGGCATGGAAAAGTGATGCCTTCTGTTTTCTCCTTTGCAGATCAAAGTGGTCCATTTGCAACCCGAAGTGGCCCAGTTAGACCTGTACATCCTCGGCCAGTCTGACCATTTCATCGGCAACTGCGTCTCCTCTTTCACCGCCTTTGTGAAGCGGGAGAGGGACGCGCACAGGAGGCCGTCTTCCTTTTTCGGCATGGACTACCCCCCTCAACTTAGGGATGAATTATAAACCCCCCCGGGGGAAACTGCGCGTTGCGTCTCGGGACACACAACTCGGGCTTCACACAAAGCCCCCTCGGAAGCCAGGCTGCATAGCTGGTCGGTTCTGCGGAATTCGTCCCTGTGCGTTCTTTTATAGTCTGAGCTGGAACAACAGAGCAACTTTTTGGGAAAATCCCATTTTTTTTCCGCTCCCCCTGTAATGGTTGAATCAAGGAATCCTCTGAATCTACCACTCGAGTTTCCTCCTTCCCTTTTCACAGCCTTCTTACCTCAGAATAAATCTCTGACAGCACAATCAATAAATCATAAAAAATGTTCGGGATCTCAAAAGTGGCAACCAGAAGACAATGCAATTATCCTTATAAGTGATTAGCACTTTCCAAAACAGATTTAATCTCCACGTCCTCTTAGTTGGACTAGGTCAGGGGTAGGTAACCTCGGCTCTTTTATGACTGGTGGACCTCAACTCCCAGAATTCCTGAGCCAGCCATGCTGAGGGGAAAGGGAGAGGTTTCCAAGCTGAGCCAGGCTGACTCAGGAATTCTGGGAGTTGAAGTCCACGAGTCATAAAAGAGCCGAGGTTGCCTACCCCTGGTCTAGTCCATCCTCAGCCACAGTCAGTTTTGGTCAAGGAGGCCGATGGGGAGGTAGGTGAAATAATATAATACACTGCCTTCAGCTGGGTCAGGGATAGGCAACCTTGGCCCTTTTATGACTGGTGGACTTTAATTCCCAGAATTCCTGAGCCAGCATGGGAGAACTATGACCCCCTCATGACTGGTGGACTTCAACTTCCAGAATTTCTGAGCCAGCATGGGGGAACTATGGCCCCCTCATGACTCGTGGACTTCAACTCCCAGAATTCCTGAGCCAGCATGGCTCAGCTTGGAAACCTCCCTTTCCCCTCAGCATGGCTGGCTCAGGAATTCTGGGAGTTGAAGTCCAGGAGTCATAAAAGAGCCCAGGTGGCCTACCCCTGGTATAGGGAGACTAAACCTGAATTTGTTGGAATGTGTAACTGATTTTGGTATTTTCAGAACTAATTAGTATTGAAGCCTCTAACAAGGAGTGGGCTGCCAAACACATTTATATATATATATTTTAAAAATGGTTCAGAATAAAAGCGAGATATTTTGGAACGGTTTTGTATTGTATTTTTACAGAAATCACAGCCTAAAAGTGAAATAAAATCATTTTTTCTAAAAAAAAAAAAAACCTCCTTATTTTTGCTGAATAAATCAAGCCATTTTTTTTCAGAGTTCTGGATGCAGGCAGTCCTCGACTTACGACTGCAATTGAGCCCAAATTTTCTGTAGCTAAGCGAGACGGCTGCGAAGTGAGTTTTGTCCTGTTTTGTGACTTTTCTTGCCACAGTTGTTAATGGTTTCCTCATTAACTTCGCTTGTCAGAAGGTGGCTAAAAGTGATCACGTAACTTGGGACGCGCGGCAACCGTCATAAATATGAACCAGCTGCCAAACATCTGGATTTTGATCATGTGACCATGGGGAAATGGCAGATGGTCATAAGTCACTTTTTTCAGTGATGTAACTTTGAACGGTCACTAAATTGTTGTAAATCAAAGATTGCCTGTCTCTTGTTGGAGAAGACCGTGGACAACTAAGAACATAAATGGATCATGAAACCAACCAACCCAGAGTTCTCATTTGAGGCATAAATTATTCTAATTATTCTATTTCTATTCTATCCTAATTCAAGGCCATGATGGGAAGGCTCAGCTCTCTGGAGAAAGTTCCGATGCTGGGAAAGAGGGAAGGAAAGAATAACAGGAATAGAGTTGGAAGGGACCTTGGAGGTCATCTAGTCCAACCCCCTGCTCAGGCAGGAAACCCTGTACCATTTCAGACAAATGACTGTCCAGTTTCTTCTTAAAAACTTCCAGTGTTGGAGCATTCACCGCTTCTGGAGGCAGGTTGTTCCCCTGGTTAATTGTCCTCACTGTCAAGAAGTTTCTCCTTAGTTCTAGGTTACTTCTCTCCTTGATTAGTTTCCATCCATGGCTTCTCGTCCTGCCTTCTGGTGCTTTGGAGAAGAGGTTGACCCCCTCTTCTTTGGGGCAACTCCTCAGATATTATCATGTCAGCCCTAGTCCTACTTTTCATTAAACTAGACATACCCAATTCCAGCAACTGTTCTTTTGTCGCTTACAGAGGTGATGGGGACACTGTTGGAAGACCTGATAGGACCCAGTTGTAGACAGGTCATTGTTGAGAAAGCCATCCTGGGTGGTCATTAAGAATTGACACTGAGTTGAAGAAAGATCATTCATATGAAGAGTCGTTTCAGAAGTCCATAATAATGTTGGGAAAAGTGGAAGAGAAAAGGATGACCAGACACAAGATTTTCTATTCCAGCCTATGGCCGTCCTTGTTAAAGGCATAAGGACCAAACCCCTGTTGAGAAAATAGGCTGAGGGGAAAGGGAGAGGTTTCCAAGCTGAGCCATGCTGGCTCAGGAATTCTGGGAGTTGAAGTCCACGAGTCATGAGGGGGCCATAGTTCCCCCATGCTGGCTCAGGAATTCTGGGAGTCGAAGTCCACGAGTCATGAGGGGGCCATAGTTCCCCCATGCTGGCTCAGGAATTCTGGGAGTTGAAGTCCACCAGTCATGAGGGGGCCATAGTTCCCCTATGCTGGCTCAGGAATTCTGGGAGTTGAAGTCCACGAGTCATGAGGGGGCCATAGTTCCCCCATGCTGGCTCAGGAATTCTGGGAGTTGAAGTCACCGAGTCATAAAAGAGCCAAGGTTGCCTACCCCTGCCCTATGCCATTTCAGACAAATGGTTGTCCAGTCTCTTCTTAAAAACCTCCAGTGTTGGAGCTCCCACAACTTCTGGAGGCAAGGCATTCTACTGATTAATAATCAAATTCCTCCTTATTTCCATAGTGGATCTCTCATTAATGACTTTCCACCCATGACGTCTTGCCCTGCCCTCAGGTGTTTTGGAGAACAGGACAGAACAAAATAACAGTTGGAAGGGACCTTGGGAGGTCTTCTAGTCTAACCCCCTGCTCAAGCAGGAGACCCTATGCCATTTGAGACAAAAGGCTGTCCAGTCTGTTCTTACAAACCTCCAGTGATGGAGCACCCACAACTTCTAGAGGCAAGCCGTTCTTTTTGATGACCTCCTTGCCCTTGTCTACCGAGCCATAATTTCCAGTTTATGTCTCCGCCAGAGATGGAATGGCATCCCAAGTCTACCTCGGAAAGGAAGATGAAGCTAGGAAAAACTCTGCAGCTTAGGACAGTGGTGGTGAACCTATGACACGCGTGCCAGAGGCGACACTCAGAGCCCTCTCTGTGGGCATGTGCGCCATGCCCCAGAAATGGCAACCATCCCTCTTCAAGCAGCCAACCGCTAACTTGCCGAGGTCCCACGTGGCTGGATGCATCCCAGCACAACTGGTTTCCCTCCCCTCCGTCCCATCCCTCCTGGCATCGCATGCTCTCCTTTTCCCGGGCACGACCCACTGCATCGCCTCCTCAGCTGTCGGCTATCTGTCCAGCTTAGAGGCGGCTTCTCTGAACTGCTGGTGGCGGGCTGCGGAGCCCCAGAGTGCGCCGGTCGAGGGGCCGGCAGGCTGTGGCTGCCGACAGACAACTGTCGGCCCCCATGCACTCACTGGCCTCTGTGTGCGAGGGCCGATGGTGTCAGGTAGCAGCCACCCCAGCCCCTGCCTCACCTTGTCCTGCGACAATGGCACCCCGGCCCTGCCTTGCCTTGCCTTACCCCGCAGGACGAGCCTCTTGCCCACCGTCCCACCTGCCAGAGACCCCCCCCGGATCTTCCCCAACCCTGCCCAGCCCACACAGGCATCCCTTCCCACGAACAACATTGGCCACCTTGGCCACACCCACCCAGTCTGCCATGACCACCACAGCCACGTCCACCCAGTGGGCCACGCCCACCTGGCACCCGGCGATAAATAAGTGGGTTTTGGGTTGCAGTTTGGGCACTCGGTCTCTAAAAGGTTCGCCACCCCTGGCTTAGGAGAAGAGAAGCAAGACCACCCGTGTAAGTTCCAATTAAGTTGATTTATTAGTCTGTCCAGTGTGCAGAAATCCAGTCAACTAATCATGGTTAGTACAGCTTTGGAGCTAGATAAGGACTAATGGACTTCAAAGGGGAGGGTGGGGCTGGACTTAGATCCTTTCTGTTTGCGTAGCAAATCCAGGAGAAGTCCTCTTTTCACTGGGCCCCCAAGCCGAGCCGTTCCTTCTATAGCTTCTCCCAACGGTGGTGGCACGTTGTAGCTGCTGCTTTGATCTTGGATGCGTTCCTTTCTCAGTTGTATCAGAAGCATCTCTGTCGCCAGGTTCTTCGCTGCAAAGAGTTAGCAAGGTCAATGGGAAGGGTCTGCTGGGGGCCGGGTTCGAAAGAAAACAGCAAGCATGATGGGCTTTTAATCCCGTTCACCTGTCCATTCTATCCCCATTAGGTAGCTTTCTTCAACCTTGGGCGCCCGGTTATCGCCGTCAAACCTTCACCATTATGGACATCAACTCCCATAATGAGGGTGAAGGTTCGCTTTTGTGAGTTGTGGGTTGGTTTTCCCGACCTGGATGCTGCATTCCAGGTGTAACCTTACTAAGGCTTTACAAGCAGCGCCTGCATTTTCTGCGTCGCGTGAGAGAAGCACATCTTCCTTCCCCTATCCTGACCACTTTCTACAGGGGGACGATCGAGAGCATCCTGTCATACAGCATCACAGTCTGGTTTGGAAGCATCACTGTTTCAGACAGGAAGGCGGTGCAGAGAGTGGTGAGGACGGCAGAAAAGATCATTGGCAGTTCAGAGAGTGGTGAGGACGGCAGAAAAGATCATTGGCAGTTCCCTCCCTCCCATCCAGGACGTAGCACAGAAGCGCTGCTTGAGCAGGGTCCGCAAGATTATCTGGGACACTACACATCCTCTTCACGACCTGTTTTCCTTGTTACCTTCTGGGAGGAGGGGGCTTCGTGGTATCCGAAGCAGAACATCCAGATTCAGCCAGAGTTTCATTCCATACAGCATTAACCTTGTGAACTCTCAAGCTTCCTCCTTCCGTTACATATTCAAGATGGACAGTATTTAATATTTATTTGCTACGTATATGTAGGGATGTGGGTCTATACATACGTTGTTCATAGTATATTTAGGTGTGCGTCATGTATGTGTTTCACTTTGAGAGCGGGCAACTAAATTTCATTTTTGATGTGTGCCGTTGTGCCCACAGTAAAAAAATGACAATA